GGAACGTTAGCAAAACGTTTTTAGGACATACTGTATAGTTGTTAGCTGCATTGTGCCTGCTCTTCATTGCCCATCAAAATGGATTGTGTCCTAGCTGAACTTTTGTCCTGTGCTATAGTCCCCCCTCGTCCCGCTTCGTCCATGATTAAAGTCTCTCGACCTACAAAACTAGAGTACAAAAGAGTGCTGCACAAACTGAACAACTGCTGTTGAGATGAATAGGACAACTCAAAATATCTGAAAACGGCGCCATCTAGTGGGTCAATCCCAAACTGTCACAATCTTGACTGACAATAGACATGCCTGGGAAATGGGGGAAAACTGAATGAAATCAGATGAGTTAGCAAAATGATGACATTGGCTTAATTATTTTCAGTATTCAGATTTGAAATGTGTTCCGAGACTTCAAGAAAATGCTGAGCCAGGATGAATGAATTGGGGGGTGGGGGGAGTTCTAACGGTTCATGAAACAAAAATGAACCGTTAGAAATATGATTTCTCAAATTGTTGACATAAGGATTACTCCTGGATCTAGTTTATGAATACCGATGGACTGTGTAGAATACTGCTGAATACATAATCAGCGTCAGATACTGGCTCACACAAACAGATCTGTGCATGTTCAGGATAACCTCCAATGACATCAGCCTCCCTCGTCTCCATAGAAACAGCAGCAGTCTCAAAACATTCGCTGGCACACTGAAGTAAACTACAGCCATGCAGGACATTGTGGGTTGATGCACTTTAGGCTGGGCAGCTTGCCATCAATCATATGTAGGCTTAATAATTGTTTTTTAAATTGCATGAGGTGGTTCATCAGTAACCTTGGGATTCTTTGAACCCTGACAGAGAGGGGTGGGTTAACACTGGGCGTCCCGACAACTGACAGAAGCATCAGACACAGTTCGGACCAAATCATGCATGGGTCCATGATAATGGTAAAGACGTTCACCGCCAAACACAAGACAAGCGTCACGGTTTAACTTTACAATGAATAAAGTAAATGGCATGGAGAGAACACTAGGAAAAGAAAATGGCTTCTTTGCTGGTTTGGGCTCGTCACATTTCAAAATAACCCACCCCACCCTGAACAAACTTCAAGGAACAGTTCACCCAAAAATGAGAATTCTTTGCTTTCACCCTCATTTCTATAATTTTCTGAGAATGTCACTTGTTTTCCTCTGCTGAATTTGGTCCATTTGACTTTATTTCTTTGGTGTTACACAAAAAGAGTTCAAAAGTCTCAAAAAGTACATACAGTGTATATTTAATTTATTCCTGTGATGGTAAAGCTGTATTTTCAGCATCATTACTCCAGTTTTCAGTGTCACATGATCATTCAAAAATACACTCACCGGCCACGTTATTAGGTAAACCTGTTCAACTGTTCGTTAACGGAGATATCTAATCAGCCAATCACATGGCAGCAACTCAATGCATTTAGACATGTATACACTATCAAGATGGTCTGCTGAAGTTCAAACTGAGCATCAGAATGGGGAAGAAAGGAGATTTAAGTGATTTTGAATGTCTCATGGTTGTTGGTGCCAGACGGGCTGGTGTGAGTATTTGCGGATCTGCTGAGATCTTCACGCACAACCATCTCTCGGGTTTACAGAGAATGGTCAGAAAAAGAGCAAATATCCAGTGAGCGGCAGTTCTGCTGGTGAAAATGCCTTGATGTCAGAGGTGAACGGCCAGACTGGTTTGAGCTGATAGAAAGGCAACAGTAACTCAAATAAGCACTCGGCCTGCTGAAGAGCATCTCTGAACACACAACACTTGAAGCAGAAGAGCTACGGCAGCAGAACACACACCGGTGGCACTCCTGTCAGATAACAACAGAAACTGAGGATACAATTCACTCGGGATCACCAAAACTGGACAACAGAAGATTGTAAAAACGTTGCCTGGTTTGATGAGTCTCGATTTCTGCTGACATTCAGATGGTCGGGTCAGAATTTGGCGAAAACAACATGAAATCATGGATCCATCCTGTCTTGTATCATCAGTTCAGGCTGCTGGTGCTGTAATGGTGTGGGGGAGATTTTCTTGACACACTTTGAGCCTCTTAGCACCAGTTGATCATCATTTAAACACCGCAGTCTACCCGAGTATTGTTGCTGACCATGTCCATCTCTTTATGACCACAGTGAACCCATCATCCGATCGCTACTTCCAGCAGGATAACACACGTCACCAAGCTCAAATCATATCAAACTGGTTTCTTGAACATGTCAATGAGTTCACTAAACTCAAATGGCCTCCAGTCACCAGATCGCAGTACAATAGAGCTCTTATAGGATGTACTGGAACGGGAGATTCACATCATGAATGTGCAGCTGACAAATCTGCAGCAACTGTGTGATGCTCTCATGTCAATATGGACCAAAACTTCTGAGGAATGTTTCCAGTTCCTTGTTGAATTTAATCCATGAAGAATTAAGGCAGTTCTGAAGGCAAAAGGGGGTCCAAACCAGTACTAGCAAGGCAATAAAGTGGCTGATGAGTGTAGATGTGCTGCTTAAAGTCCTGTCCACACCAAGGATAAAGTTTTAAACCACGTGAATTATGATTTTTTTCTTCAAACTCATGAACAATAGAAACATTAAATCCACCCGAATTTAAAGAGCTTGAGCATTTAAAGCAGCAGACAACAACACTGCAGTGTGCTTATAATACACATAATGTTATTGTTCTTGTTGTGAATAGGCCTTAATAATTCTGTGGAAACCTTGATACATCTGTTTTCAGAGTTCTTTGAAGAATAGTAAATTTAAAAGAAAGCATTTATTTGAAATCTAAATTATTTGTAACGTTATTAATGTCAGAAGTCATATGGATATTTATGGTGCTTTTTTTGTAGACCACAAAAGAAAGTAAGTCGTACAGGTTTGGAATGACTCGACGGTGAGTAAATTACGACAGAATTTTCTATTTTGGGGTGAACTATCCCTTTAAATCCACAAATAACTGCACAGCTCTCTCTCTCTGCTTGGAGTTAAAGGGATAGTTCACCTAAAAATGAAAATTAATTTACTCACCCTCAGTTTGTTTCAAACCTGTATGACTTACTTCTGTTGAACACAAAGACAGATGTTTTGAAGAATGTTGGTAACCACCAGACAGTTGGCGTTAACCATTGACTTCTACAGTATTTTTTTTTCCTACTATGTAAGTCAGTGGCTACCGTCAACTGTTTGATTACCAACATTCTTCAAAATATCTTCTTTTGTGTTCAACAGAAGAAAGAAACTTGTGGGTGCAAGTAATGACAACATTTTCATTTTTGGGTGAACTATCCCTTTAAGATGAGGGGGGAAATGCCCGAAATATCACATCCTGTCTCTTACCTGGACTCTTGTCAAGGAAAAGGCAGCAATGTGTCTGCAGTATCCATGGTAACACCTGTGGCAGATGGAGAAATGAAGATGGAAATAGTACAATGGAGTAAATTTCACACACAGAGAGAACGAGACAGTCAGTGAGTGGAGGGAAGAGGATGAACAGATGAGATAAACCATTTCACTGTGACAGGGGCCATGATAACTCAAGTTAATGGACTCTTCGACCTCCTGATGCTGCATGAGCAAAAAAAAAAAAAAAGAAGAAGAAAAAAATCACAAACATACCTACTCCTCCACAATCCACAGCCTAGAGATATTTAACTCTCAATATTGCCTTGCAAAACCCTTTACATGTAAACAGATACGATTCTGTACTTATTCTGATAATGTTACGTTGAGTTAATAATATGTGAGATATAGATATACATTATGTCATCACTGTTTTAGACAAAAGCAGGTGGGCAAAAACATAATTATGACTATTTATAACATTAGCAGAAACGTTTTTTTTGTATGTGTTTTTTTAATGACACGTGAATAATTGCCATCATCTAAGTTAAAACTGTCTTGAATTCGACTGGAACATCAGAAGGCTACCGAATAATATAACACTGTTTTATTTCCATATCTGCAATACCTTTTTCAGAGCTGACATTATCCAGGGGTTCGTAGCATCGCTTGAATGCGGATGTTTGTAAGCACAGGATCAGGTGTGTATCAGCACTTCAGCAGTCCATGGCTTTCATAAACACACACGTGTTCAGCTGCAGTCCGTTCACATCAGCAAAATCCCCGCAGACCCTCCGCCCGCTCCAATAACCCATACACTGCGTTATCACAACTCATTATACATCTGATTAAGACAATGAGCTTAGAAAGAGAGACGGTGGTGGTCATGGTGGAGACGAGGCATTCAAATAAAGCGTCATTGCCATAAATAACTTGACAACTTTTGAGACGTTTCGTCCACTAGGGGGAGCGATAGATAGATAGATAGATAGATAGATAGATAGATAGATAGATAGATAGATAGATAGATAGATAGATAGATAGATAGATAGATAGATAGATAGATTAAACGTAAAAATAAAAGTGAAAAATAATACGAAAAAAAAATCGAATAATAATATACATTTTCAGTTTCCCTGCATGTCATGTTACCATTAACCGACATTAATGTGAATATGTAATCAGAAAAAAAAAGTAACTAATCTGATTATGAGCATTTTTAAAACATAATATTCTAATTACAAGTACTTACGTTTTGGAATCTGATTATGTTATTCAGAGTACATGTAATCAGTTACTACCCAGAACTGATGGATGGATGGAGTCTGTGTGGTTAAAAGCTACGTTTTTACAATAAAGGTTAAGATTGAAAATATTTTTTTTTAATGAAACTTTCTATGTATTTTTATTAAATTATTTATTCATGTATTATCAATTTTACCAGAAAGTGACTTCTCGACAGTTTGGTAGATGCCTATACAAAAAACAGGCTCTATTGGGAAAATAATTTCTTGGCGAGGATGATAAAGGGAAAATTAGTTGCTCTTATTTAACGTTATGTTTGTATGTTTACGAGAATTCAGACTAGAAATCTAACAGTATTCACATGAACAAAGTCATTTAATGATAAGAAATATCTTTCCATTGAGTAAAAAAAAGACTTTATTGGATATGACAATGATAAGTTTTGCAAACAGCAATGATCATAAGATGTGTCACAGGTTATCATGTATAAATATGATCTATATGTCTATAATATGGGCAAATGAGTAAGTTATTACCGTAATGCAAACCGTATAAAAAAAAAAGTTTAAAAACAAACAAACCTTCAAAAGGCCTTAACAAATTAGAGTTATGCTTGATAAATATGCACATTCAACATTGGCAAAATTAATATAAAAATGTGTGAGAGAAAAAAAACAAATGCTTTGAATACTAATCATTTGACTGAAAGAAAACAGGAATGTAGAAGTTCACTAATAATCGTTCACTTTTTATTCAAATATTTTCGCTCCGTTTAAATGACCCTTGGAAGAAGTGTCAAAAAACAGACTTGAATTTTGGAAACCCTGAATGTGTTTGCACTATACAAAGTTTTAGAGTTGAAACGTTTTCTGAACTGGGAGTTGGGGCTTGTTCTACGAGGTCGGGATGCCACTGCCGATGGGAGGAGTGGAGAGGGGCGGCAGGAGGAGACTCTTGAGTTTCAGGGACATGGCTGCGATCTCTGGGTCCTGAGTTTCATACATCTTTACCAGCCGCGCGAATTTGAGAACACCTGAAAGGCAAAATGCGGAGGTTGAAATGACAGCTTTTTATTAGTGTTTCGCGTGTTTCGCGTCCTCGACCTCACCTTCTCCCTCGTTGTTGAAGCCGTATGCTTTGATGACCTCCTGTTGGATCTGGGTGGCTACGGGAAGCACCAGCTGCAGCATCTTGCCCATGTCATTGCAGGCGCTTTCTCTGGCTTCCTCCATGCGGGCTGCGTTCTCGGGCATGGAGAAAGCCTGGATCACCTCACTGAGAACAACTGCGACGGGTGAATGGGACGACAGAGTGTTCAAGCCGTTAATGACGAAACATTTCCGTTGACATCATCGTTCTCATGACTAAGACGAGAAGACATTGACATTAAAATGGACGACTCTTGTATTCTCGCAGAATTTATTATAAATATTTTTTTTTATTCATGTGCCCTTGTAATTTTTAACTAAAATAACTTCCCCTCCCTCTTGAAGCGACATCTCTTCTCTGATGATGCGTTTACAGGCGTGAGGGCGGGGCAACCTGTCAATCACATGACATCACAGCTATAGCAAACCACAGCCATCCAATCTATTCCCGAAGGATAAAATCAAGTCCAACCCTACATTTGTTTTTGTTTGTTTGTTTGAGAAGCCATTTCTCTCAGATATACGTCACAAATCACAATAGAGAAGAAAAGTACAGAGCCCCGCACATGACATGCAGACAAATATACATATATCATAGGCACAAATTAAGTTCAATCAAATTTGTTCCCACAAATTCATTTAAATCAAATTCGATCCCACGAATTAAGTTAAATCAATCAAATTCGATCCCACGAATTAAGTTAAGTGAAATATGTTCCCAGGAATAAAGTTCCCATGAATTAAGAATTCGCTCCCACGAATTTAGTCAAATCAAATTTGCTCAGACGGATTAAGAATTTGCTCCTACGAATCAAGTTAAATCAAAACAAATTTGATCCCACGAATTAAGTTAAGTGAAATATGTTCCCACGAATAAAGTTAAATCAAATTAATTCCCACGAATTAAGAATTCGCTCCCATGAATTGAGTTAAATCAAATTTGCTCAGACGAATTAAGAATTTGCTCCCACGAATTAAGTTAAATCAAATTTGCTCCCATGAATTAAGAATTTGCCCCCATGAATTGTTCAATCAAATTCGTTCCCACTAATTAAGAATTAATTAGTGAGTACTGTTTACTTAATTACCGTTTTGATCTAAATAAAACAAGGGAACAAATATTTCCAATGGCTACAAAAAAAACATTCCCTAGCATATTGCTGATATCTCAGAGATTAGGGTAGCCAATATATACAATTTATATTTATAATTTATATATATATTTTACTTAATATGTAATAAATTAGAAATAAAGAGTTTGAAAATTAGTTAAAAATAAATAAACAGACCCATTACAGTATTTTTTCACAAATAAACAATTTGTTAACAAAATATGAGTTAAAAGGAAGTAAACTGTAACAAACAGGGCACTCAGTCATTTAGTAAGTTTGTGCGCACTGGGAATCATATCTGACAGCCATAGTGAGCATCGATGCTCCCTGGTTTTTACGGTGTATTTTGGTACTTTTTAGGGAGTGAACGTTTCAGTGCACTGGAAAGATTTTGCAATTAAGACAGCCTTTATAAATGGCCGACTCCCTGATCAGTGCCCTACCGAACTAGGGAGCCGATTGAGACGCACCCGGAAACAATCATCTGTGTCCCAATGTCTAGTGAACCAGGGTCCTTAGCAGTGCCGAATTAGTGTACACGATAAACTGATTAACGACCTAGGGAGCTGATTGTGATGCTGATGAAAGTTTCATTGAGTAAAACTAGACTAAAATTCCCAGACTTTTAGTCAACTAAAACATGGATAAACAAAATACAGGATAGGTTAACTAAATATGATAATAACTACAAAAGGACTAAGTCTAAATTCAAAATACAAGTCATGTCAAGTCGTTAATGAAAACTATGACGAAAAACATTCGGGGACAAATTTTCTTTCCATGACTAAGACGAAAAGACACTGATATCAAAATGGACAATTCTTGTATGCTCGTAGAATTTATTATAAATGAATTTATTCATTCATGTGCCCTCAGAATCTTAAAGGAATTCTAGCTTTAAAACAGAAACGGCCATTCACTGCCATTATAAAGCTTGGAAGAGCCAGGACATTGTTTAATATAACTCTTGATTGTGTTCGTCTGAAAGAAGAATGTCATACACCTAAGGGTGTATATGACTTGAGGGTGAGTAAATCATGAGCTAATTTTCATTTTTGGGCATGTAACATCCCTCTCACCTCTTGCCTGCTCCACAGTGAGCGAGGGCTGCTGTGCTGGGGCAGAGGCCATGCCGGCTCACTCCACGGGGCAGATTCACCACCGATGACTGCAATGACAAATTTAAACAATTATACAATCGCTATGACATTATTTAAGCATACTCTAATAATCAATGAAGAACACTTATATGAGCTTGACTGTTCATCTTTCTCCAAAAGAACACATTTTCAACATCAACATGAGAACACTGGCAGCTGTGAACCATTACGGTATCACTACGTACTGTATTCATTAAAATATAATAATAATAATAATATAGAACAATACAATCTCAATGTTATTTTGGTTGACAACTTGTCCATTTGTAGTTTTCATTGTAACGTTTGACCACATCAGCTCTTGGTAATAATTATGGGCAAAGATGAAATACCCAACAAATAATTAAATATACGGAATACATAGCGAAACATATTGCTTTCAATCAGCCTCAACTTATATAGATTATTAGACTCGTGTAATTTTTACGTGTTATGAAGAATTAGACCTATGCTGGGTTTAGCTGTTATCTATCACTGGCATGTTAGTTCCGCTTACAGCAATTGATCATTGTCTCTGAGCTCCAAAGGTAAATATGTCATTATTTTTTTCTCTAATGATATTTTTTAATATTTCTATGTACTTACATCGTTGATGCCAGTACCTAATCACAACCTCTCCTGTGACGCGGAGTCGCGGACGCGCGCACATTTCCGGTCGGTACAGCTGTTAAAGTGTCCGTTGGAAACAACAACAACTGAACCACAGAAAGATAGAAGAATAGAATGTCAATGAAAATGATCAACAATTTATAAAATGGACGAGGCTTTGAATTTAGTTTCGGATTGGTGAAGCACGATTGGTCTAAATAATACTTCTCTAATTTAACTCTTCATTGTGTATTTTCAGTCAAATGCTCATGAAGTGGGCTGAAAGAGTGTTGTCACTTGATACATGTTACTTTTCTCAGCGCTAGTCAGACTGGACCAGTAACAGAGGTCTGCGATTACAACCAATGTGCCCATTTAAATGACTTTATACAGATTTAATTTATGTCATATATTAATCGTTTGAATTAATAAACTTCAAACATTATATGTTTTTTTTGTGATATTGTTTTTCATTGAGAAAAAAACGTCCTGAAATTTGAATATGGTTAAATGAAGGATTCGCTTTTTGGGCCACTAAGCGCCCCTACAGGAAACACTTTTTAGTGTCATGGTCAACAAACAGTCATTTGACACAGCAGCGTTTGTCGACCGGTGCAAGTACGGATTCTACGGAAGTCTGGTAATACTGACACGTAGTTTTATTTAATGACCACATACATTTTGACTCTAATAACATTCCAGGTATGAAATATGGAACGCAAGCTGGCTGAATTCAGAGCCCGAAAGAAAGCCCAGACTGGAGCTGAGAAACCTGCTGTTCGTGAGATCCAGACTGAAATGAAAGCAATAACAATCGATGATTCTCCGGCAGTGTCTCCTGACACAACAGAGTTCCTGAAGCCCAACACCTGCCATCAGAGTCCACACAAACAGGTCTGATCGCAACATACTACTGTAAAAACCATGCAAAGTAACACAATGATAAATAAAACGATGGAAGCGTGTTTCCGCCACGGAATAAAATCAAATAAAGGCAATGACGACCTTTTACCTCACAATTTAACTTTAAAACTCTCAACTGCGAGTTGATATTACAGTTCTGAGGACAAAAGGTCAGAATTGCGAAAAAGAAAATCGCAGTAAGTTAACTTAATTTGTAGTTTTATACGGAGTTTATTGCCCATTTCCTTACTTTTTTTGTAAATATCTTACAATTCTGAGAAAAAAAACAAGTTAAAATTGCGGGTTCTAAACTGGAAGTTGCGGAAATTAAAGTCTTGTATTTCCAAACCTCTGCGCACCTGCTTGCACAGACATTATCAGCGTTTTTCTTGAGGCTATCCAGACAAACTGCTGCCTCCTTTTAAAGTTCCTCCTGAACCAAAACAAGCTGATCTGCGCTCACTCCGTGTCATAACCGTAATTACGAGATGGCAACCTGTGATGTTCTACCGTGTCTGTGACTGTTCACTCCTCGGATTAATGCGTTTCTATGTCAACACTATCATATACTATTTGCAGACTCTGCTGTACATGTTAATGTGTTTTAAAGGAGGCGTGGCTTTGGAGACGCTCTGAAGGGAGGGTGGGATCGTATGCTCTCAAAGCTGACTTTCTATTGCTAGCCTCTACGAAATTGCCTACTCTACCTTTAATTGTCTTATTCCGAGGAGGAATCAAGTTTCCATATAAAACTGACCATGTCATTTTTTTGTCCAACTAAATGTAATAATTTCCTGTTATTTCAGGATCATGGTGATCTTCTGAATACTACATCCGGTTGTTGGCTTCAGCGTCTGGTTCTTACCCATCTGACCCTGTTTAAAGTGCTGCTGTGGCTTGTGCTGTTGGGGCTTTTTTCAGAACTTGAGTTCGGCCTGCCATTTTTTCTCATATCGTTATTCTACTGGCTCTATGAGGGCCTTCGAAGCCCAAAAGCCAGACAACCTGGAGAAATGAGCGCATACTCTGTGTTTAACCCTGATTGTCAACCCATTCTGGGGACTTTAACAGCCGAACAGCTGGAAGGAGAGATGGGATTCATGGTAATTAATTCTTGATGGCCAATACATGAACATGTTTAAAAGTCATGCAAACTTTGCCGCCAACTGTCTGGACAACAAGGAAGATTGTCTAAATGTGGACTTGGGAAACTTATTTGCATTATATTAATGTATCTCAGTTCTTGAATGGTTTACTCGTATTTACCTAAATAAAATGCATTAATATAGATATCATATACACCCCCTTCTTACTGTTTAATCCAATCATACCCATGACCTACTAGAATAAATTAAGCCTACTGCTACTACAACCTACTACACTAAAATAACAATGAGGCCTTACTGTACACACTTTTAGGGAGCATGGTTATGGTGTATGGTTTTACTTAAATGTATCTTATGGAACATAAATTACAAGTTTGATTTATTTTTTTGCAATATGTTACTAAATATATATATATATATATATATATATATATATATATATATATATATATATATATATATATATATATATATATAATATACATACATACACACAGTATCAGTACACTGTCAGTATATTGGATCTGTGCATTAGTCTTAAAGTGACAGAAGACTAATATGTCTGCTGCTGTGTCAATGTTAATCAAACAACAAAGGAAAAAGAAAAAATCACTCACTGCTCTTGACTGAATAACTTTTGGTAAATTTATATTAGTTATGCTAGTAGTTTTAGCTGTGGTATAGAAATTGGAATAGAGAATTGTGAATTCTCACTTGTATCTAAAATGTTGGTCATAATTGGCTATTTTTGCAAAAAAATAGTTTCATAGAAAATATGTATGGCCGGTAAATTTTCACAAGTCACCGGCCATTGGCAGGTGCACGAAAAAGTTAGTTTTAGGCCTTGTATATTATAATTATAATTCTATAAATGCAATGACTTGTTGAAATTGACATAGGAAAACCATATCAACAATCTTTCCCTCACCAGCATCATAATTCATACAACAAATGATTGATTTTAGTTAGGTTTTTAGGTGTGCGAAATAAAGTCAGTATGAAACGGAAGTTGTGATATATTTTTTTTCTTCCTTATTGTGATCTATGTCAAACATGGAACGGCCTCTTGTTCAAGAAAATATGTTGGGCAGAATTTGATTTTGTCCATCGGGATTTTTTCCAAAGTTATTTTATTAAAGATTACAAGAGTACATGAATAAAAAAAAAAAAAAATCTTAATGTGCCCTGATAAATCATAATAAATACTGCAGTATTCCATAAAAACAGGGATTTTTCTATGTTGATTTCATGAAGAATTTTAATGAAGTTCACCCTAACCCATTTACAAACCCTCACTTTAAAACCCGTATGACTTTATAGAATGTTAGAAACTATTGCTTTAAAAAGAAAGCAACTCAACGGGCACTAAGACACTACACGACGAGAACTACGATTGCTGCGTCCCAATTCGCCTACTTATACTACGCCCTAAAAGTATGTACTCTTTTTGTGAAGAAAAAGTACATACTTTTGAGTGTGTAGCAAAAGAGTAGGCAATCTTTGGGACATACTACTTCGTCATCTTTAACGGACAGATCTGTCGCTACCCTGTCAATCATCTCGTCACAGTTAAAATCCTCCATTCAATCTAATATAACTTCTTACCATTTCGGAGAGAATTGTTGTCGCACGTTCATCTGCCAGTCATGGGTCTTTCATGCGGAGACTCCCCTCATGTGTTTGGAATTTGAATATAATAATGCATTTAAAAGTTAATGGCTAAACGTATCTTTGCAAAAGTTCACAATGCTGCTGCAGATGCAATATAATGTGGACAACATTGAATAAATACATTTTCGTCAGGTTAGATACTGATAATTAATCACTCAAACCCCTTTATCTAAACCTCTCTACACAACCGCCGGACTCGTGCGTCCTCCATGTCTGTAGTTTTTGAACACTTTTCATTCGTGTTTGTAGTTCTAACCGAATCCTCGTCCAACGCGCGATGGGTTGTGGGCAATATCAGCCGTTAGAGTGCGCATCGATCTGCACTTCGGATTCTGACCGGATATAGTAGACCATCCGGGTCTCTTTGGGACACTCATTTCAACATACTACGATTTGGGACGTACTAATTCTATTTTCGAATACTATTTAGGACGGATAGTATGCGAATTGGGACGCAGCAGATGTGTGTAAGTTACATCATGAATGACGCCTTCCTGTCCTTCAGTGCTGCTGTGTCCGATAGGGATCTGTGTGTGCTGCGAAGCCCTGATCCTTCCTGAACTCTGGACACGGACTGCGATTAAAGTAAGACCGCAATTATAGAATAAGTCATCAAAATACACAATTATTCCTAAATAACAGTCTGCACCGCAACTTTGTACGCGAGTAGCATCGCCCAGGAATGCATGCTGAATAAATGTTGAGAACAAGTTAAGAAGTAACGTTAGACGTATATGTTTTATAAATGTCGTGAGTGGTAACAAGTAAGTTATGAGTGTGAGTTTCAGGCACTAGTGTTAACCATTTGGACAACAGTGCCTTATAGTGTCTTCCATGCAGATTGTTCAGGAACTTTAGCAGGGATCTTCACCCAGTGCAGCAAAAAAAAAGCATTCTGCCATTTTTCAAAATTACTCATTAACACAGTTCGTGAGTATTGTTGTCAAGGAATATGTTCTTTATCGTTGTGTTATGTGATGAAATAAGTGCCTCTGCTCTGATTCTGACTCTGGTACTTAGACAAAACAGGTCTATTCTCAAACTTCAATTTCCTCAAAATGTGTTTTTACTTGCCTATCCCTCAATTTGAATCACAACTGTTAAATACAGTCATGATGTGCATTATATACATATGAACAAATCTAGCATTAACTTTGATGAACAAATGAACTGACTTAGTTCAGCTCCATCTGTATTGATTAGATAGAATCCCATAATAATCAGATAATCATCATGACATTGCAAGACTTCCATTGTCTTCTGGCTTTTCCCCTGGTTGTTTGCAGGAGGTGTGTCTTTTTGAACTGCAGCAAGGTGTGCTTTCTGTTTCAGCTAGTGTCATGGCGAGCAGTCCTGCAGTGCTCATGCGGTTGGTGGCTTCAGCCTATGCCGTGGCGGAAAAGGCTGGAACTATTGTCCGTAAAGTGCTTCAAAGTGGAGAGCTCGGTATCGTTGAAAAGGTAGGCTACTGCAAGTAGTGGCATGTGACCAAGAAGTGTTGATCCAAATACATTTCCTATTTGAGATGACAAGTTGATGAATTTAGTTTAAGTATATTGGTATATTAGTTGAAGTATATTGGTAAAATTTTGAAGAATGTTGGTAACCAGACAGTTGACAGTACCCAATGACTTGCATAGTAGGAAAAATATACTATGGAAGTCAATGGCTACTGTCAACTGTCTGATTACCAACATTCTTCAAAATATCAACAGAAGAAAGAAACTCATACAGGTTTGGAACAAAATAAGGGCGAGTAAACGATGACAGAATTTTACAGGTTGAACTATCCCTTTAACCCCAAATCAGTAACACTAAAAATCTGATTTTTATTTAACAAGGGTACTGATCAGGAACAGGGCTGCCCCTGACCAGAGATTTTGCTTTTCGACTAGTATTCGTTAATTTAAGCGTTAATTAAACTTACAGTTTGATATGATAAGCCATACTTGAGGTTGATGAATGATAGGCGAACATTTGAATTTTTCCTGCCTGGCATAATTACCACATGGACCAGCCGTGTTAACGATCTGTCTGTCACGGACTGCGTAACTTCGCCGCTTCCTGTGAGTTTTTTTTTTCTGTGACCCACTGACCAATTAAAATTTTGTCAACTGAGCCTCTTCTCATCGACTAAACGCCCCGATATACTCACGGTAAAGTTCTTTATCATTCTTCGTTTAGGGGTAAAACCAAGTTCGAAATACGTGAGCAGCGATATACCGTTAGCGAACAAAGCCACCCACACATCTGAGAGCAACGGTTAGATGAATATGTGAATATGTGCTGCGCGCTTTCCTCTCAATAACAAAATAAACACACAACAGAATTGAGAAAACCACAAGCATTTTAATAAAGTGTAAGAAAAGCATCTGATCATGGTAACATGGATATGTTTGCACAAGCTCTGCAATTCGGCACTCTAGTAAAGTCACGTTTATTTATATAGGACTTTAGCTTTGACGTGGAAACCGCACACACCTACCTAGTATGTAATCGCCACGGACCAATGGTTGGAAAGTTTTTCTGGAAAGTTCGCTTTGTCAAGCTGTTTCGAACTTCCAAAACAAACTCCAAACGGCCTGATTTTGTTCGAAATTATGTCACATCAGTTTGTTCTTCGATTTCCCTTAAAGTATATCGATGCCCTAACATATGGTGGACTATTAGGGGGGCAGGCCTAGAGCCGAGACTTGAGAAGAGAACGGTTGATGAACTAACTCTGGATTGTGACATTATTTGCTCGTTTTGACATATGCTTATGACGTATTTTTGTAACCATTGCTTTTGGCATAGACAGGAGCTGATGATCTACAGACACTGGCTGACAGGCTTGCTCAGAAGAGTATATGTGCATCCTTGTCGAAAAGCTTCCCTAAAGTCACTATCATCGGGGAGGAGGTGTGTAGGTCTCGTAATATGAAGGTGCTCAACCTGTTTTGGCTCCAAACAGCTGTCTAAACTGATTTTATTTGTGTAGGAATTACCAGATGAGTCTGTTGAGGAAGACCTGATAGAGAACGGGCACAGCAGCCTAATCCTACAAAAATCCTGTCCCGATCAGTATGCCAGCCTGAAGGAGGAAGAGGTAAAGAGGAAACAGAATGTGGCCATAATGCTTAAAACATATAATAATTGTATATAACGGAGGCAAGCCAGTAAGAGCTGTGCACGTAAACCTCACTCCCCTGGCCTCAAGAGGCGCACTAGCGATCGACGCTAGCGGCTGCGGTCTTTAGCGTCCTTGTGAGCGCACCCGCCTCCCATGCCAGAGACGCTGATTCGAATGCCACTCGGAAAGGGTCGAGTAGGACCGGTTACATTTGGTGCTTTTTTCCTTTCGAATCCCACTCAGGGGTGCGTTTCCCGTACAATGACGTAACTCACTGCTTAACTACCGTAGTACGCTAGTCACGGCTGTTTCCCGAAACCATATTGTCGCAAAGTGGTCGTTCAACCACGTTGGTTAATGATGTCACGCAGGCGGTGGAGTTATAACTTCTTTGAATTAATCTGTTTGAGTTCGAATTAATGCTAGATGTTTTGCTATAAATTATGGACATGGCATTTTTAGGAATATTTATCATTTTTGCTTTATTTCCAGATTCAATCATAGGCTCGTTCTTGCGTACTAGAGCACGTTCGCACATGTGCCCTCTTCAAAAACTACGCTTTAAATCTCTTGACAAACTAAAAGACGTAAATGACATTTGTATGTATTCTAAATAAAAGATATAGATTGCACTGAATGTCAGCTTGCTTATTTGGCTCAAGATAAGGATTTATTGAGTCCACACGTCATGCAAACAAGAAACTCTGCTTCTAACCACAGGTCGAGAGCTGTTGTTCAAACCACACAACTTTACGATGCTGTTTGCGAATGTTCGTTGGAACGATGGTTTCGGGAAACACCGACTCGTTGAACTATGCTGATAACGACGGAACTTGTGACCATAGTTGGCTAACAATGCTTTTGGGAAACGCACCCCTGAGCGGGTCGAGTAGGACCGGCTACATATAGAATATACCATTTTTAAAGTCCCCATGAATTCAAAATTGACCATACTTACTTTGTTTGCCTAAATTGATCGTTTTTTGGTGAACAATTAATCCACACAAGTCAATCCACACAAATTTTTTTTTGGCTTTGTAATCTTTAATCAAAATCAGTAATTTCCCCTCCCCTCTGCATTGGAGGACCTTCTCTGATGACGTAGGTTTGACGGTTTGGGTGTCTGCTTAACATCCGTAACCACGCCCCTCCAACTGACAGTAGACAGGCTGAATGAAAACACCTACTTTTCTAGATCCAATCAGGTGCTAGTTGGAAAAAAAAGCCACGCCCACTATTTTGCCTCATTTAGTATTCCGTTTGTCTCGGAACAGACTGATCTCATGAAATGGTGTATGTATGACACGCCAATTCGTATTTCCATTTTTGGCGTGCTATCAACACGCATAATCGCTTTTCAGCGTGTTTATCAACGCCTTTGACTTAACGTTTTATTACTGTATTATGTATATATAAATATATGACCTACCCCAACCCCGTCCCTAAACCTACCCGTCACTGGGGTTAATACCATTTATGAGTCTTCTCCTACCATCCTAGGAAAAGAAATATCGCTCCACAGATGTAGATATAGATTTTGCTTCGTTTCGCTCGGACATTTAACGGCGTACACATACACGCGGAATCACTCGGACATTTAATGGCGTAGACATACACGCAAAAGATTTCGGCGTGGACATACACGCGGATAGCTCAAAATGCGTATAGATAACACGCCACTTGAATTGAAAGTGGCGTGTATGTTTACGCAAAGTCATGATGTCATGTTGCTCGGAAATACGTCACAACACTGGAGAAAAGTTTTTTGCAAATTCCTGTTCACGGGGACTTTAAATTCACTAATTCTGAAAGAGTTTTGAAAGAGTAGGAAAATAAAAGTAACTCAATATAGTATTTGACTAAGGTTTCATCTTTATTTTTCAGCTCGTTGTGTGGGTGGACCCTCTTGATGGCACTAAAGAATATACAGAAGGTGAGCAGATAAACCACTTTCAGCATTACTCAACTCCCACTTCCATTTGAGTTTTGTTTTTTTTCAGCTGTGACTGCACCTGTTATTAACATCTGTTTGGGGTGAAGTGATCACAAGTGATCTACATTTTGTCGTCGATTATACAAACCACATTTGCAAGTCGAATTTGTAGAAAGAAAGTGTCATAAATGAATGTCTTGTTATTCTAAAATTCTCCTTCCACTCATTGTCTACGAAGTGGAGCAGAACAACGTCCAATCAGTCCTCACATCATTGTTCCCGATTAAAACAAAAGATTTCCTTGTAAACATAGCCAAATTATCCTCCATTGATGGTGATGACGGAAGGACATGTCCGTCTGCGAAACAGAGAAGAATACGGACAAGTTAAGAATGGCTTACTCGCTTGCCACCCAGCCAAAATCCAACCACAAGTATTTATTTCTGGAGATTGATGTTAAGATTATCAGATGTAAATCGATTCACCTTTAACATTGCTCTTTTTGCAGACGAAATCCAGTAGTTTTAAATAGCAATCTGCATGCTTGGGAGTTTTGTGTGAGGGCGAAAAAGTTCCCTACGAAGATTTTGCTCTCGTTCAAGTTGGTCACATAAATGTACCGCACTGACCAACAGAAAGGTCCTTGGTTTGAAAGTGACTTCTGTGTGAGCAGTACTTCATACAGTTCTAGACTGTTGAAAATTGACCTTTTTTTCCCCACAAATCTTTACCGAAATATTGCCAATATGACTGCACCTTTTTTCCGTGTCACACCAGTTGTCCAAGGGTGCAAAATTCAGTTCCTGGAGGGCTAGAGCCGCATTACATCCGGATTACATTCGTACAACACACTCTCATACTATATAGAACATACTTTTTTAGCGGGCTTATTCAAAATAAGTACCTACTCAAGACTCAAGAGAGTATGCAGCCTACAGGTATGTGTGTTGGAGCAGATTTGAACCAAACTCCTGGGGCCTCATTTATAAAACTGTGCGTAGAATCCTTACGTGTACGTGCGCCCGAAAGCCAAAAATGTCGTAAGCAAAAAAATATTCTGACTTATAAAACCGTGCGTACGCCAGAACCTGCGCAGAATTCACTTTATAAATCCCAGTCAGCGGAAGATTGTGCGCACATGCGTCTCCACCCCGAAATAACCATAACGCCTAGTTTTACTATGCATATCCTCATCTGCATATCATTTACATATGATTATTCATCCACATGATAACATGTTTAACGGTACAAGACATTAGGAAAATATGAAATACGGATGTGCTGTCACATTACATTAATAAAAATCATTTAGTAGCCCATCCTTCCCTTGTTTTTTAAATAAATAAAATAAAATAGTGCAAAATGCATTTCAGAGAAAGTTTTTCTCAATCTTTTCCACTGGCCAAATAGTATTTTAATTGATTTATATTTTTAATGGAAACAGATAGACCTTGTTGTGCATTATTTGCACGAAACCATTTTCTCAGACAATCTGCTATCATGATAAGCAATTATCTATGTAGTTAACACATTAAAACACAGACAGCATGCCAGAGGAAAAGTGTTCAAAACATCCACAACAAATATTTATATTTATTGAATATAAAAATGTTGTAACTTCTCAGTAATGATTTCATGTTACTGGCCGTAATTCAGAACACAATTCCAAGAGGATGGCTCTTGGGAATCGAAATCGGCTCATGAGCCAATCATCATCATGAGCAAGGAAATCTCCACGGTCTCTGAAAACACGCTCCCTCCGTATGAGCGTCATTAGCAAGGTCTTCTAACAGCGCTAGAGCATCCATTATGATGATATGTTATAAACGCACACACCTTTTTATAGCCCATTCATTACAAAAAAATTGTATTTGCACCTGGTTAAGAATGCTGATAATGATAATTTAGGTTGATGCAATTTGATTTATTGGGTGATGTAATAGGATCATTTAGAAGTTTTTCATTTTAAATAGTTATTGCTATTTGGGCCAGTTGGTGTCGCCAAAACACATACTCTTATAAAAGAGTGCATACGCATGGTCAAGAGCATCCTTACGGTGCACACTTATTTACGCCAAGTTTATTTTTTATAAATCCCGATATGTGATGCGCCCATTTTGTGCGTACGCAACGTTTATACATCAGGCCCCAGGAGTTTTGCTCCCCTTGAGTTAGTCCCATCCACATCAGAATCTTTTTTTCAAAATCCAGATCTACTGTATATACCTGTACTAAACACCAGTTACCATTTGATTGGCTTTGATTTTTGTCCCTTCCCACAGAATTTCACTTTCAGTGAGGACAGAAAAATGACTTGACGTTCATGTCGCGCCTAGACTTAGGGACCTAGTGTTGCAAGCATGCCCACTGCAACAGCACTATCCGTCCGTTCTCTTCTCTCTCTGATTTTTTTGTCTAACTCTACCTCCACTTGATCTCCATAGGTCCAACACACCTGATGCTGTCACATAGTGATCTGCTCTCTCCTTTCTCCTCTTTGTTTTCCTGTCTCTGTTGTAGCTGCGAGGGTTTTGTACAACCCAGTTTACATACAGAAGCCAGTGCAGCCCCACAGAGCCCCTAACCGTACGGTGATTTAATGCTTTTTTTTTCTTTTTGAGGCATGGCATGTCACCGTGAAATTAGACACGAGTATGTTGCAGTCAATCAAAAACAGCTGTTAATTCAGGCATTTACAATTTCCCGTAGTTGACCAGAAATTGCAAATGCATTGCATTTGTGCTCTTTGTTGCTGATGAAGTGCAACTGAAAAAGGGTTTTTACAATAAGTTATCCAGTGAACCTGTTAAATCTTTTCCATGCATCCAATTTTAGTTGGAAGTTACCACCACTTTATTGGAAAAGTACCTTATCAGGCACACAAAGAAAAGACAGGAAATTCTGAGGTAAATATTGGGGAATGGGTTAGGGACATGGACTCGAACCTGCATTACTGGCATGAGCACTAAAGACACCGATATACTCACAGCAAAGTTCTTTTTTTAGTTTTAATATGTAAATATGTCCTGCTCGCTTTCCTTTCAATAACAAAATAAACACACCCAAAAAAATGCAATTTGTACCATAAAGTAGCTCTCCAGTGTGTTTATGTTTTTACTCACGGATGTCTGACCTCAATGAACCCAAAAGAAGAAATGAACTGGAGTACATTTCCATGTCAAAGTAGGCGGAGCCTCAAAGCCACACCTACCTGTTCTGTAATCGCTGTAATGTTTACCAGCCAGATGTGAACATTCCTGGAAAGTTTTGGCCTGCTTTTGGTCAAATTGACAAATCAACAGTTCGTTCTTTGGTTTTGCTGTAGTACATCGGGGCGTTAATGCGCAAAATTGCTGCACCACAACTCTGTCTTACTCATACCGTTATAAAAAGGAGGACATATACAAGAGCATAGAGGGGTTAAAAAATATTTTCGTGTCGGACTTGACTAAGTACTTTGCGTAATTTTTGTTTGCTGGTTTTTTGCAGGGCTTTTGGATCATGTGACAGTGCTAATAGGGATTGCTTATAAAGGGACAGCCATTGCTGGAGTCATCAATCAGCCCTTCTACAACTACCAGGTCCAACCGGTTGATCGGGTCACACATGCTACGCTACATTTGGTAAAGGCTGGGATTGGTTAACCTGTTTTTTTGTGCTCTCTGTTCACTCAGATTGGGGCTGGTGCTTCTTTGGGCAGAACTTTATGGGGAGTTCTGGGTTTGGGCGCATTTGGGTTTCAACTCCAGGAAGTCCCAGATGGTAAAAGAATCATCACAACCACGCGGTCCCATAGCAATAAACATGTGACCGACACAGTGCAAGCCATGGAGCCTCATGATGTCATCAGAGTGGGAGGAGCTGGGAATAAGGTGGGACACTAGCCTCGATTCGGCTGAGTTAATATTGGCATTGAAATTGAACTAATCCCGTCTTCGTTCTGGGCCTGGTAGATCATCCAGCTAGTGGAGGGAAAGGCCTCCGCTTATGTGTTTGCCAGTCCAGGATGTAAAAAGTGGGACACGTGTGCGCCTGAGGCAATTCTGCATGCAGTTGGAGGTGATAGTCATTGTTTGCATGTTTTGCTTGATATTTAAGATAAATATAAAGTATATTTAAGCGTTTTTTTATGTTGTTTTCATATTCAGGCAAATTGACAGACATCCATGGTAATGCATTCAGATATGATGCCAATGTGAAGCACATGAATTCTGCTGGAGTTCTGGCGACTCTCCGGGATCATCAGTACTATATAAGCAGAGTGCCACGGGCTGTCCTACAGGCTCTCCCCTCGGACTAAACCATTACACGATATTAAGTCATACTGTAAACTTTTGTGCCTCAAAGCTGTGATATGTCCTTGCCATAAATTGAACTGTTTAAGATTAATAAGATTTGAGTACATTCACAACATGTTTTCAACCACGTTTATAAGGGGACCAAATACATTTATTTTTAAACATTTAATTATTTGTAGTAATATAATTTGTTGCTAATTTAAAAATAAATTACTGTCAACATATACATTTATATATATACATGTCATATTGCATATATATGATTATGGTCATAACTTTTACATTTAATTTTTTAATTGGGGTGTAATTCCCTGTTTTGACGTTTATCTGGCTGTCTAATTTGTTTTAGAGAATATGAAAACATTAATTTGTCTGACAGAATTTATGATTGTCTTACAGCATTGTTGGTAGATGCATTTAGTTAACTTTAAGTATAGTAATACTTAAAACCAGTGTTTTCAGTACTAAGTTAGGTATTTAAAATGAGTTCTGTAATCATTGTATTAAAAGTTGCATCAGGAAAGTCTGAACTACCCTGCTACTCTAAAATGTTGTGTGTGTATTTTTCTTGTATCTATTTGACAGTTTTGCATCGCCAGCCATAACCTAAACATTATAATAAAAGGCACACAACAAAAGTGCACTAATAAAATGACATTGTTGCTTTAAGACAAACATGACAATGAAATGTGTGCTAACACAAACTGAGTAGTAGATACAACATTAACACAAGGTTGTGTTAAGGTGAATACTGTACCAACAGTATTCTACATGTATACACATTTAGGAATGATTATGTATATTTATGTAGGTTGCAATTGGTTCAACCACATATAAATATTGATTATCCATCTGGGGTAACTGAGTGAGAATATGTAGTTTTGTCAGTTATATTGAATGTAATATGTATGCCCAGTGAATTAATGTATGAGGCATTTATATAGCGCTTTCATATGTACTACTGTACACCCAAAGCGCTTTACAATCATATCAGGGGTTCTCTCCCCAACCAGCACCAGTGTGCAGCATCCACTTGGTTGATGCGACGGCAGCCACAGTACAACGGCACCAGTGCGCTCACCACACACCAGCTATAGTTGGAGAGGAGAGAGAGTGATAGAGCCAATTCAGTGGATAGGGATTATTAGGAGGCCATGTTGGCAAGGGCCAATGGGTGGAATGTGGCCAGGACACCGAGGTTACACCCCTACTCTTTTACGAGAAGTGCCATGGGATTTTTAATGACCACAGAGAGTCAGGGCCTCGGTTTAACGTCTCATCCAAAGGGCGGTGCTCTTTGACAGTATAGTGTCCCCGTCACTATACTGGGCCGTTAGGACCCACACAGACCACAGGGTGAGCTCCCCCTGCTGGCCTCACTAACACCTCTTCCAGCAGCAACCTGGTTTTCTCAGGAGGTCTCCCATCCAGGTACTAACCAGGCTCAACCCTGCTTAGCTTCAGTGGGCAACCAGTCTTGGGCTACAGGGTGATATGGCTGCTGGCCCTGCAGTGCCCCTGTTTTCCATCTTTTGTCTATTGTATTGTAGTATAAAATGAAGCTGCTACTCGGGTGGATCTATATTTGCATTTTTGGGGTGGATAAAAGTCTTGCTACTTGCTTTAAAACCCAATGTTATTAAAAACAAGACACAAGTTGAATGAGAAATCATCTTTATTTTAAGTGATATTTTATTAAAATGTCCAAAAGAAAGAAGTGGTAATCATTTGTATTAATACATGAAAAAGGCTTACCTGAGGTCTATGCTGTCCGAAACTTTTCCTATATTTGATAAGCAGATCCAGTGGCAGCTCGCAGGCCATCTGTTCAGCAGTTCCAAGACATTGAGACTCAAAGGCATAGTTCACTCAAAAAAATCACTTACTGACCCCTCATGTCGTTCCAAAACCACATGTAGAACACATGTACATGTTGAAGAATGTACTGGCCATTTTCCCCCACATGATGTAAGTGAATGAAAAAACAGCCAGTACCAAAAGAAAAGAAATCAGAACTGTTTCAAGAAGCTACAAAATTGGACTTGGGCGCTACGTTCCAAGTCCTCAAAAGTCACACATCTTTGTGCAAGTAACATCCCATTTTAAGTCATGGTTTACTTAGAATATGGATACCCTAAAGGGACATGGTGATGGTAAAAAACTGCGTGTTCACTCACAAAAAACGTTTGTGGTGGAAATGTGAGGTTTGAGAAAAAACAGTGCTTTTGCAAACTTGGAGGAAGACAATTGTTTTGAGAGCAAACACAAAATTGCTCGGGGGAACGCAATACTTCTGAGAGAGAGCTAAAACCATTTTCCTCCCATCACATATTTCTCCATCATGTCCGGGGATCCATTAGAATAGAAAAATAATTAGTGACGCCATAGATGTTGCACCTAAAAGTGCCATGTTTAAATTGGATAGATGCAGTGGAGATCAGGATTGTCATAAAATAAAATATTTATCAATGTTCCTTGTATCATAAGGAACTACATGCATTACATGCTATGAGTAATTTAATTATTCCACAATCTCTTTTATTATGTGAAGAGAGGCCAGCACATTACTCCAAATTTCTCTTTTAGTGTTTCACATTAAGAAGGAAGTCAAACAGGCTTGGAACGACATGAGAATAAGTACACGTTGTAAATGAGATGTATATTTTCACATTTTTGTGATTAATCCCTTTAATGTCGTGCAACATCAGGACTGCACAATCTCCTTAAAAAAAAAAACAAGCTGCTGTCATGTTAATCACCCTTCAAATAAGAAAACAAGATACAAATCATTATTGTCTTTATGTATTGAACAACTCGGCAAAAAGTGTTCTTTTCCAGAGGCTCTCCTGGGTACAATAGGTGTGGAAGAGGAATGAAAAGGTGTTCATTCAATTGGCCTTGATGCTTGATTATTTACGACAATTAACTGCTAAATAAATTGTGCAACATAATATGACACCTAACAGTATGCATATGACCTACGGCCTTAGTAGGGCAAATTAAGTTACCCATGCATGTATGAAATGGGTCACGGGTGTTTAGTGCAGGGGTTCTCAATTCTGGCACTAAAGTTCCACTTTCCTGCAGAGTTTTGCTCCAACCGTGATCAAACTCACCTGAACGGGCTAACCAAGATCTTCAGAATCTAGAGAGTTACAGGCAGGTGAGTGTGATTGCTGGGGCTAAACGTATATTCAAGTGAAACGGATTCTCGATGATGGTTTGCTATTGGTTGATGTCATGTGAGTGACAGGTTGCCCCGCCCTCACACCAGTAAACACATCATCAGAGAAGAGATGTCGCTGCAAATGGGAAGGAAAGTTATTTGAATAATTATAGATTATGAGTGCACATGAATAAAAAAAAAAAAGTGCAAGCACGGATAAATTATTTATAATAAATACTACAATCTTTATGAACTAATACGATTTCTGAAGACTTTATGTGCCAGTTAATATAAAAAACTGAAATATGTTAGTATTATTAATTGTGCTCAAAATATGCAAGTTGCTTATCACAAACCTAAAGTCTGAAAATACAGCTAGGCATATATTTTAAACTTGGAGATTTTTTTTCTCTCTCCATGAATAGAGGATAAAATGAAGATGCACAGCAAATTTAAACGAGAAACCATTGAAAATAGTGAAGATTTGAAATCTTCTACAAATCCTTTTTTTTTTTTTTCAGAATTTGTTTTTTTTTTTACACATTTTGTAACTGACAAAGGTAAGAACAATGTAAGAACGCAGCAACAGTAATTAATTTGTATTGGTGTAGAATAGTGAACAAAATAAGAAAAACACACAACTAACTTATTTTTATAGGACAAAAAATAACTTTTGGTGCTCTTTTTGAAACAAGAATGAAAGGATTAATGTTTTTGTGTAATACCTTTTTAATATGCAGCCTCAGCTGATACAATTTTTTTTTATACTTTTCCAAACAAACAGAAAATGTGCATGTAACTAATCTATGAACAACTTGCATACAGTATTGGGCAAACTACTATGAAAGTGTAGCATGAAGTTAATTGAAATCACTTAAACAGTCAAATTACTGTTTTTTTATTATTATTTTTATATTAGACTATCAGGCACAGAAACAATATTAGTTAGGGTCACAGCATCAAAGTCAATATTTATAAACACATTTACATTTAATAAAATAAGACCTGATTTATAGAATTGTGCTAAACAGCAGTATTTGACTATTTATTTTACTACCTTTTGGAAAGCTTGTTATAAAAGCTATACACAGCTGAGCTACTGAACACTGTAAAATGTACTTAAGTTAATAGCTACTTTTTAGTTAGTTAGTTGTTCCCCAACACTGCTGGTATATGGGACATATTCATATATATATATATATATATATGGAGCAAAACATTAGCACAAAAAAAAACATAACAGCCTTACATGGCTTGATGGCTGGATGTCCAGGACAAATGAAAAGCTGCAGTCCAATTGTCCTCTGTAATCCTTCCATCTGTGAAGACATTTTACGCAGTTTGTGCAAACGGGAATGTGGAAACCTGTATTTAAACTGAGGTCTGTAATACCAGGTGAGTCATCCATCAAGTCATTTCCATTTATCTCAAATAGGCAGCTGCGTAGGACCCAAGCAAGTATGTGATGAAAAATAAATCAATATTTGGTCGTGGTCACAGTTTTTCACTTCTATCACTGAGGTGTAAATTGTCATAAATCACTCTGGAGCTGCAGGAAGATGACATTGTGACAACGCTGACTTGCTGAAGAACAGGCAATCCCAAGACATTCACTAGAACCTATCCTGAGATGGAACGTGAAAAGGGCATCAATTCACTAGTTCCTGTGGTACGAACACGCCAAAAACCAGGTACATCCGCCAATAGTCCTAAGAACTATGAAAAGGTTCCTCCAGTGCGAAAGCCGATATTAGTGCCAAATTAGTATCTTATTTGTTCGTTTTCAAAAAATCTGCTTCCGCTCCATTCGCAGTTAGGTTTATGGGTGCACTTTCATGCCTTTTTCCTAAAAATCGAGGTTGGGTTGGCCTGTCTCTGTTACATACTGCCTCTTATGTGGCCGTCTCTCTAACCTACAGAGGGAGTGTTATCAGCCCCAACGACTCAGTTCTCTGCGGAGTTAACCTTTTAAAATGAAGGTTGACAGTGACCACCTTTGAAAAGTCATTGCCCTGCTTGGATCA